CTAATGATTCATGATATGAAATATAATTCATAATCATAATTCATATATTTGTATACATCATATGAAGCATGATTGATAAAAATGATCCATCTATAACTAATGATTCACAACGACAAATACAACATTTTTCAAAACTTGATACAGTTCATTTCTCAACATAAACAACACACAGCACACGGAAAGATGTGGACATCGAGTGACGAAGCCAGGCACATATCCACTTATTACCGTCAATCCTCCTCATTCCAGTGGCCAAGCCACATGCTAGGTTTGCTCATGTGGCCAAGCCACATAAAAAACAATCATTGTGATGAACATGGCCCAATGGGCAAAAACCGATACTGTCTGAATTAAACGCTTATTGAACAAATGTCACAAATGCTATGCACTTCCTACAAATATCATAAAATAAGGACATCAGGTTCAGAGCAAATTATACTGTGCTTTGAGACACCCCAATTAACGCAATCAAGCATCTAGGAACGGGAGGTGGGGCCTTACCCATACCAGCATTAATTAAATATATGGCATGAAAAGTTAAAGAAAGTGTCCATCTTTCGGCAATGTTCACTAGTGAAACCTCATGATCAGTTACGTCTTATAATAACACTGGGTAGTGCCACTGCAGCACCGTGAAGACATAGGGGCATCAATCTTAATTATGTTCCAGCCAAATTACCATCAACGCTTTGTACCAGCACCACGCTTCTCCCCTGTTGTCGCGACCACCGTCGCACTTTCGCTAGTGGAAATACTAAATGGCACGGTTCCGTTCGTGTTGCAAACATTACAGAGCAAGCACACTGGAAAGAGCAACGCAATCGAAATGTATTACTTTCGTAGCAGCAAGCATAGAGTGATGACACGTGTCCTGCAGGGTCGCCTACTTCAAATCAAAATTCTGAGCTATTCAGAAGGATTTCGAGAAACCTGGCATTACTGATCAAATCGTATGCGCCTCATCTAACTATATCTGAAAACTATAAAAGGTGGCAGACACCGTTAAACCCAGGCCGCACAACTTACGTCGCATTATGAAGACTCATTGGTGAATTGCGGAACAGTTTGCAATTTGTGCGGAGTCGAAACATATCAAATATGCACCAAATTCGGTTCCCCACATTTGTGAGAACGCCGGCGGGGCGCAAATGACTGACAGCGGAGGCAAACAGTCGTCCCCTAATCCACCCCAAACCGGAATGCTGACAGAGCCAACGGTACTGGGAGCAGATTATGTCGGACACCACGGCAGGCTTTAGTGCATAAATACGCTGCAGCCTGGCGCGGCCCGCGGTCCAGATGAGCCGTTTTCGTAGAACAAGAGGCTCGTTGTTTACAGCGAGGTCTGGAGACAGGCGTGCTCCCCCAGATGCCAAACCATATCTGTACAAGCGCTGGTGCATTCGCGTGCAGCGCACTCCTTTCTCAGGCAAGGATGATATCCTTAATAACATTACCGCGGCACAGCTTAAAGATCGATGGTAGATACGCCCACAGTTTTACAATTGTTCAGTTTGTTCCACTGAAGTGACCTAAACGTCGTAAGCGATAGTAAAGTGCACGGTCAGTACCTGTTCGTGCGAAAGAGTTCGCTAGTATTCCGGAGGACCATCGACTTGAGACGTTGAAAGGGAAGAGTCTCTATTAGCCAAAGAGTTGCAAGGCAAATGTAAGAGAGGGGTTGGAAGGGGCGTTGCACACTCCGAGGTCGTCGTCGTCGTCGTAAACGCGTCGAGCCGCACCGTCGGAGTCTGAACGTGGGCTGCTCGGCGGGGACCGTGCGTCCCCGCCTGCGTGTCCCCATAAACCCACGTGGCCCACATATGAGCTCCAGATGTGGGGACCAATCGGCAGAGGGTCACACCATCGTGGAGACGCCGCCGCCCGCCGGCAACGACGCCCGTTTGCTCGCTAACAGTACCCATAGCACGGCTTTACAGCCAACTTGGTCATGGCGTAGATGGTGTTATTGCCCTTAACGACGGTCTATTTCCGCCTCGACTTATCATATCCCCGGGTGGTGTCAAAAGCGAGTTCCAAGTTGCGTCAAAAGGACATTACAGAGACGAACCATTAAGTTCGTTGATTGGAGAGGACAAGTAAGCTGGATGACAGGAGAAGCTGGTTGCAGGACTGCAGGACAGGACTGCAGAGCAACAATCAAAATTGTAACTGAATGAAAAATCCGGGCACCCGTTTTCCCAGCCTTCCGTTTCTGTTAACACTATGTCTGCCCCAATACCACATTTTCATGTTTTTGTTTTGCTCACGGGAAGTTTGCTTTCAGAAGGCCATGCCCAGCTGCGGACGGACGCATGCTGTCAGGGACGCGCGTACTTGCATTATTTTCGATGCCTTGTCACCAGTAACAGATGAAACTAATGTATGCAACAACGTGGGTGGTGTGAGGTCCTGCTAAATCAAAAGATGGTCCATGACGCCTTGGCGCGGATGACTGCCCCCAGGATGGCGTCGCGGTGTGCTGTCGGGCGGCGCAGCGTGGCGGCGGCCCGAAGGTCGGCCTGCCGCCTGCACCGTCGCAACAGCGAATTCCTTCTTGTTGCTAGGGGCGAGAAACCTTGGAGCCCGAGGGAGTGAGCGGGAGTGAGCTGGGGGGGGGGGGAAGAGAGAGAGAGATAGAGAGAGAGAGAGGAGAGAGGAGAGAGGGAGAGAGGGCGAGAGAGAGAGAAGAGAGAGTGAGAGAGAGAGAGAGAGAGGAGAGAGAGAAGAAGGGGAGAGAGCTGGGGGAGGAATGGCAGACAGGAGGTGGGAGATAGGAGAGAGAGGAGCCAAAAGCCCTCTGCCGCATCTTCAGCCGGTTTTGTCTCGCGACCCTTCATGTTGGCCATCCTGCTGGCTTCCGGTAGAGTTTTCTTGCTTTGATACGCAACATGCTAACCTGCAATTGGAGCGGGCCCATGTTGGCCCAACCAGGGTCAAGAGGGCTCCGGACGCGTGCCAGGGCCGAGAGGGCTTGGGACGTGTGTCTCACCATACCCTGTGGCAATGATGCGTATGCAGTTGACCCCGCGGCATTCCCCTTTGCTGCGTGATAAATGGCCTTGAGCTCAGAGTCCGAGCCGCCCGCGGGACCGGCAGTTCACCGACCTTCCGTTAGATAGCCTCCGTCTGATCGGCTTAGCTTATCTTGGTCTTGCCTTGTGTTGGCGCCAGCTTCAACTGTTTTGCCCGTCTTTCTGCCACGTGTTGCCCCGCTTGTCGGGCCCGCTCGCGCCCTCGCCGCGTTGGGGGGGGGGGGGGGGAGGGGACGGGAGGGAGGGCATAAAAGGGTGTTTGGCGGGTGGTTCAGGACCTGCCCGACGGCGACACCTGACGCACGGGTGTAATGCACCAGGACGGACGGACGGACGGACGGACGGACGGACGACGCAGGGCGTGAGGGAGCGAGGGGGATGAGGATGGCTGGTGTCCCAACATGGCGAGACGAAGCGCACGGTACGGTCCTGATTTTCAGCTACCAGATGGAACGCGCGGCTAGACCGGCAGCATAAAAGCTTCAACTGCGTGTGCCGGTCCAAATTAATCATCTCTTACATAACCTACTGCAACCTACATAACCTAATGCAACCTTCTTTCTCTTCGCTTTTCTTTCTCTGTGCCTCCTACGCACACAGCTTAAAGCTTACACCTCGGGATTAAGCACATCGAGATGTGTTCAGTGCGATGCTTTAGGGTAACAGTGCGGCCCGGTGCCACACGGCACTAACTCAGCTTAATGGGTCCGCTTGCTAGCCCGCGTCGATTCATCCCTCCCTACAGCGTCCAGACACGTGCCCAGTGCATTAAGCCAACACCGTAGTACGCTCCGGACGCCAGGCCCGGGGAGCAGGTGTGCTGCAGGGTAAGGAGGTCATGATGACTGCGTGATCGCCGCTTCGACACCGCGATGGTGTTAGGGAGAGGGTTTGAACCACACTAAAAAAAATGTCTCAAGGGTAACAAGAACGTCAGATGCCCGCATTCACTTTGAATCGTCTTGGCTCATGACCAGCTCGCAAGCTATTTTTCACATTAACTCTTCAAGGTTTGCGGCCTTTTCTGTACATAATCGGACCGGCTGATGTCCAGTGTCTCAGAGAAGTTCATAGGGATTTGCTCGCCTGGTCTGCATCTTCTCCGGTCCCGGCATATCACATTGTGGTTGCATCATCCACGGGCTTGATGGTCATGTCAGGTGCAAACCACGAGTGGATGCCGACTTATCTTTTCTCCCGGATTCTCTAGCGAGGATGATGCTATTCTTGGCGTGGTAGTTCAAGGCCTCGCCACTCGTTCCTTGCATTTTGATGCTACCTTTAATCTAATAGGACACAAAGTTGGACTTCGCCAGACAAAAATTTTCACGGCCATCCAGATCTTTTAACTCTAGTACAATTTCCGTTGTGTTGATTTTTGAGACAAAGACATGCTATCCTTTGCTTTTCACACCTGCCTTTGCCAGGCCATCGCTCAGCTTCATAGAAAAATTCCGTAAGTTTAAACAACAACACGCCACTCAAGACTTCATCTCTTAGTGCAGCCTGCTCACGTGTAAACGGCCCTTTCCTTCACTTGCCTTGTGGTTTCCTGCACCGCCGACGTCATCATGGATGATTTTAGCATGGGGCTTTCTTGCCTCCCACACATTACCATCGGTCTCTAGCTGGGGTCACCTACAAGCGTGAAGACTCGAACCTACCCTACAGAAGACGCACCCCGTCCCAGCGTGAAGAGCGCTCACCTCATGCCAGCCAGGCGGGTCTTCAGCGTCTCCTTCACCTCTGCATCTTTGGCAAGCAGCGTGCACGACTGGTGGGAGCGATGCGCCGAGAGGATGCACTCCCCGCACCCCAACGTGTTGCACGTGTCACAGTAGTTGTCAAAAGTCTGAAACGTGCAGGCAAGGTCACGTCAGCGTTTGCGTTAGCCCGCTCCGGCGGCGGGGGCTGGATCACAGCTGCCAACCTACGCGCTTTGCAGTCACAAAACAACAAGGCCGTGGTCGAAACCGAGCTGACGTTGCGTCCATTTGGAACCCATGGGTCAAGCGTGATGAAACGTGCAAATGTAATCATTCCTTGGTTTCAATATAATATATCCTCTCACCATGCTGGCAAAAACCGCGGGCGACGATCGAGGATATGGTTAATGAAAAATGCCGTTATTAGTGTCGGATTAAGATTGGCCATGATACGTGTTGCCGCCCAGAAAGCCTCATCTGGAAAACCCATCAGAACTAGCAACTATCATACGGACCACAAAGAAGCATGACGTTTTCAAAGAAGACTGGTCTGGCCGCTTCCTCACCCGTCAAGCCACACTCTGCTCTCCGATCTATGCGACGTCCAAGTCAGCAGGACGCGCCGCATGTGACCACTTCCCCTTTAAGTGTAGATAAGCCGACACCAAATTGTATCAGTAGGAATGCCGAGAGTTGAGAAACATTATTGAAAATATATCATTTACTGTCCTTTATGGCATCCGATGGCCGATTTTATACGATTCTGGTGTATTACAATGTATCGTTACAAAGGCATCCAGACCTGCACGAAAAACAGGGCAAGGCTGTGAAATTACTAGCCAACCAATACATTCGTTCCTAATGCTCCCGACCCAAAAAAACAAAAAAACAAAAAAACACAAAAACCACTGGAAGCGTCGCTTCGCTAGGTCGTAATGCAGCCGCTTGTGTTCATCGCAAAGCATTCAGCACACATAGTAGCGATGCCATAATCCGAAAATTTGGCAGAAACAAAACTGCAGGCGTGTGAGCACTGGGGAGCTAAGTAGGGTGCACCTAATGGCCAATAATGTCCTCGTAGATTTCCGACTTAAAATCATCCCTGCTTGTCACCTGCCGATTGAGCGCTCTTTCAGGCTCAGCTGTCCCGCTTCTGAGCGGCGGAGCTTTATGGGCGTTAAAAATCTGATTAATGTGGTGTGCAACATCCAATAAAAATGTACCATATATGCTTATACCTTATATGGTTTTGTGACTGACACCACATTGAGACCAGGAATTTTGGATCCGTGTCCCTTAATGCACAAAAATCCTAGGTACAAACATTCTGAGGCTAACCCTCATTTATGTATGTACCCCCTGACTTTAAGGGCGTCGCTTGTGCAAAAAGTATATTTCTGGACTGGATTTCTAAAACATTCTGCCCTTCTCATGTGGTCTTGAGACTTTACACGATCGAATAGGCTGTGCCGAGGCCGAAGTAGAAATAAAAGCTATGCATGTTTACAGATGCGTACACCACCTACACAAGACCGTGCTAATACCACACATGCCACACCAACCATCTGTATGTTGAAGCCATCCTATAGTTTGTTTAATGCCATCGCTCGCCATCCGCGAGGAAGATGGCGAGCTTGTGACAGCGATCTGATTCTACTAGAGTCCCAGAACACGAGTTATACCATTGTGCCGAAGAGACGACAATGGAACTGTAATGGAAATTGTAACGAAGAGACGACAATGGAACTGGTTTGGAGGTTGAGAGTGCCGCTCGAATGCTCACCTTGTAGTGACTTGAACACTGCTGTTGCGCACAGCTATCCTGGCACACATCGATGTTGTGTCCCCACGTTGGCTTGGTAACTCTGTGAGCCTGTAAATCCAGCCCCAATGCATGCTTAGAAAGCGAACACCTTAAAACGAAGTCCAAGCGCATAAAAACGCGATCGCTCAAACACGCGCTTCCGTGAAAGCTGCACACGTCATTTCAGCAGCCACAGTAGCGAGTGAGCACCACCTACAACACACGCAGGCGTCACACACAGGCAAACCCCATCAAAACACCCCAAAACTGCGCGAGATCCATTCACATGCCAGCCATCTGTGGCCACACCAAAGTCGTTCAAAACCGGCCCGGAGCAGTGCAGGGGGGGGGGGGGGTACCTGAATGCAGACGTTGCAGAGGTCAGTGCTGCATTCGGTGCACGTGCCGGAAGCGGCTGCCTGTCCGCCGCGCTCTGCGCACTGGCCGCAAAGCCGGCTCCGCTGCTCCTCGTGCTGCCGCTGAAGCAGCTCCTCCACCAGCGGGTGGTCCAGCAGCGACGGCGACGAAGTCATACATAATTGGCACTGGAATCCCGCTGTAAAGGGACCAGCCTTGACAACAGGGGTGGGGACAACACGGTCGAATATCCCCGAAAGACTCGAATAACACAAATTTAGATACAGTGAACATCACATGGTAAAACTGCGGTAAATGTGGCATTTTGTGCAGTACCAATATGAATTTTGTATTGCCCATGTTTATCAGCCGAATTCACACTCAACCTTCAGTCTGTCAAAGCTGTATTGGACCACACTCCACCTGGCGAGTTTCACGATCTGAACCAAAAACCGTCCCGACTAAAATTCAAAATTTTACCAAAAAGATGCTACGTGAGAACTGTGCACCCTAAAATTTACCCAGCTCATATTTCCCGCTAAAGTTTCCCCTTTAATGATGGGCCCCTCCAATGATCGGCGTGTCCAACGTCTCCCGTAGGTGCCCAATTTTCTGCTGGCACGCCACTACCATCGCGTTTTTACAAAGCAAAATTGTGAAAATTTAACTTCAAGGGTTTCTCTTATGATTAAGGGCTTCTAACCCTTCATTCTAATCTTCAGGGTGTCATTTCCAACCGGCATCAAGAAAGCATATTGTAAGTGAATGTAGCAATGTTGGTATCCCTTTACATCAGTTGCTATTGAAAGTGCTGGAAACATATACAACTGCGTAGCTATTAAACTGACACATTGAAGCAAGCCGTCACTGATGATCACTGGCATGTGGAGAGAGAAGTGATGCCGTTATTTTCACTCGGCGTTCTGCAATCTCCTTCGGGTCTTTAGAGATAAAGGCGTGTGAAGCTATTGCAAGATGATGCTATATATCCAAGCGTACTCGTCCATCAAAATACGACACCTGCGCTGAATATGAAACTTTCAATACTTCGGGATAATTTCTCCAATGTTCTCCAGCAGACAGGAATCACTGCAGATCTGATCACAACTACCAGAACGGGAGAAGGGTACACTGGAATGCTGCCGACAACTTCACACACCACAGCGGGGAGTTTTGCAACGTTCATTGCACGATCGGTACGCACGTTTGCGTGCTTGCAACAAACATCGCTAGAAGACACCTTACAGCAGCACAGCCTCAATGCCCAGGCCCCTAACGTATCATTCTGCGGACGTGACGTCGTGCCAACGCAAGCACGACACATTCCAGGCGCACCACACAGCTGCTGACCAGGAGATCCTCCCGCAGCTCGCCATTAACACCCTGATTGTTGACAGCTTTGTGATCGCTTGCACCACCAGGCAGGGTCCATCGGGCAGGCGCTGGCCCACAGTAAGATATCTCATACACCTTGCTGCAGGTAGTTCAGATGAGCCTCTTTCACACCAACTGAGTCGAGCGTGCTACCACATGTGGAGCCATAATGGCATATGCGTAGTCCCGGAGGCAACAGCAAATGTTTAGACACCTTTCAAGAATGTTTCGTGAATGGGGAAACATCACCCGTTCGGTGACTGGTATTCCGTACGTATTCACACGACCGTGAACGACCGCAATGCGTCTGTGCTGCAATTCATCGTTAATTCTAAGCGTTTGCCGTGCCTCCTGCTCCAGCCGACTGGAGACTTCAAGCTAGCACATCGCGATTTCAGACAGGTCCAGAGCCTAAACACAGCACACGAAATGAAATCAGCGTCGCAGAATTTTTTAAATAAAAAACAGAGCTTCGACATAGGAAAGGCACGCTATACAGACGAAGAAACGTAGTAACATTAGGTCATCGCCAAACTGGTGTGGGATTAAGACTAAATCAACCACGGCAACATCACACGATTAGCCGCACAACACATGACATATGCACTATCGAACAGATTCCCACTTGATTCCAAGTGGATTCGTAGACCACACTTCGGAATGAATCAGGTCTTCAGATGCACAGGCGAAGGCGCGTCTCTTAAGGTGAGGGGAGGGGCATCAATTTTGAAAAAGATTCTTTCCCGGATCACCATAGCGTAAATACGAATTATTTCTAAAAAGTGGGGCACCACCCTCTGCCCCCAACCCCCAACTTAAACAAAGCTGGTCAAATTAGGAAAGAAACACGTTTGTTGGGCGTGCTGAAAGGCAAGCTCAATCATGTTTCACTGTTCAGTCCTCCAAGCACATTTTTCAAAACTACAACCCTGAATACTACTAAACGGGGCCGGCAAAAATTGTGTTTAAATAATTTTGTCGGAACCGGGGCGTTGCTTGCCCCTTGGGCTATATGTCCTAATGCGCTATTAACATGAGCGTAAACGTGCGGTTAGAACATTTGGATCCGCTGTATAAGGCATGCATTGCGAAGGTGCGTCACCTCGTTCACTGTATCCAGGTGTGGGATCTGTATTCATTTGAGGGGGGGGGGGGGCGGGCTTCAGTTCCAACTTGAAAAAGTTTGGGGGCTCCAGTCCCCACAACTTCGAAAAGGAAGTGGGCAAACCCGAGGAAAAACTTGTTTTGATAGCGTAACTTTAGGGGTAGCTCACGTAATTTTCCACTGTTTGAACTCATTTTAATAACCCCTGTTAAGGACAATCACCAAGAAACGTGAAGAGCTACCATTAATGTCATGAGTGGCATAGAAATCCCAACAATGGGAGGTCCATCAAACCCCCCCCCCCCCCCCCCATGTTGAAGCAAACCGATTTGTGACTTGGCGCGTGGATAATTTAACGGTAGGCCTCTTTCCAGACTGAATTTGCATTTACGACGGACATGTCAATGCACCAAAGAACCATTTACTGTCGGTCTTAGAGGCGTTTGGCACCATACGCTTGCTTTGGTATTTGTACATGATGCCAATACCCTTATCATCCCTATATATGCGCATCACCTTAGTTATATACCAGGTATGTTACCACTATTGTAACTACGGTAAAAGACGTGAACGCTTTTGCAGTTAGTAAAAAATTGAGTTTTTACATTTCAGTTGATGTACAGCCAACGCAAAACTGCGTTGTGCGTTCCAAGGTCTGCATCTCTACTTGTTCAGTGCGCAATGGCCTTACGTAAAAAGCATACCACCGAAACGGAATATACCAGCAGCTTCCTAACAATACACACAAGGAGTTGGGAGTTCCTGACTCACAATCATCAATGATTAATATCACGAGATATTAGTCAAGTGGCGTTTTCACGAAAGCATTAGTAATGTTGATAAAACTCTCAAGTCATGATAAATTGATAAAACACAAAGCATTGCGCCGCAAAACCAAAAGCTCAATTCCTTTCTTGCTTAAGTCAAGACACACATAACCAAGGTTTACTGCACCCAATACAATCACGGGCATAGTCCTCAGCATGTGACCTGGGCACCAACCATGGCTAAAGCCATCGCTTAAGGTGCTTACTCCGCTCACGTCACCGGTAATCAATAACACTCACGTCACCGGTTATCAATAACACTCACGTCACCGGTTATCAATAACACTCACGTCACCGGTTATCAATAACACTCACGTCACCGGTTATCAATAAACACTCACGTCACCGGTTATCAATAACACTCAAGTCACCGGTTATCAATAACACTCACGTCACCGGTTATCAATAACACTCACGTCACCGGTTATCAATAACACTCACGTCACCGGTTATCAATAACACTCAAGTCACCGGTTATCAATAACACTCACGTCACCGGTTATCAATAATACTCACGTCACCGGCTATCAATAACACTCACGTCACCGGTTATCAATAACACTCACGTCACCGGTTATCAATAACACTCACGTCACCGGTTATCAAAAACACTCACGTCACCGGTTATCAATAACACCCACGTCACCGGTTATCAATAACACTCACGTCACCGGTTATCAATAACACTCACGTCACCGGTTATCAATAACACTCACGTCACCGGTTATCAATAACACTATCACATGAAAAGTATTCAATACCACTCGACAGCATTTGTGACGGTACGAAGGACGTGCACGACCCCAGTGATGTTTATCCAGAACGCTCCAGCAGATGAAGAGTTGAAGGGAAGAGACAGATCAGTGTCACCCTTTATAAAGGTAGGTGAAACAGGAAAAAACGCAGCAAGCTTGAAACTGCCAGCACGAATGGCTGAGTCTCTTTGAACCAGGGGCGGCGCCACGGATTTTGAGCTGGGAAGGCAGCATTTTCAAAGGTCTCTGATGGACGAAAATGGCCTCCTCACAAGGGGCCTCTGGGCAGTGTCGTATTCGAGGGAGAGAGATGTCGAGGGTATGAGCTCTTTCATCGAACTGTTGCATGCATCATACCCAAGAAATAAACGTCGACATTAAAAAGACGGAATTGGGGAGGCTTCTTTTATCCAGTCAGGGGTCTCCGTGGCCTAAAACACGGCCTCCTGATGCATAGAGCGGCCCTCCTAATCCAGAACAGGATGTTTTGATTCGTGAAGGGGGCCTCAAATCTAGCCAAGAAGCCTCGTTACCGCAAATAGGGGTCCTGATTCGGAGCCGTGACCATCTGATACATGAAAGGGACCTCCTGTTCCATAAATGGGACCTCCTGAAGAAAGATAACCCCAGAATAAGGCCTCATAGTTTATAACAGGGGCCTCCCGAGACAACAAGGGGCCTTCTGAACACAACATTGGGTCTTCTGATCTAAAGCGTGGGCCACTGTACCTTTTTCATAAGGATGGGCCGCATAATCCAGAAAACTGTCCACTTTAAGAGGAAAATGGTCTTCTGAGCCCATTTGATCCTCTCTAGCTTAGCTGTGAGAGCTTTGCTCTAATTTTCGTTATCTACGAATAGTTATAATGCCTTAAGTTCGATAGAAAGGGACCCTCCCAAAAATTTGGGAAGCAAAAACATGCTCTTGCTCTCTATGGCCTCTCCCCAACTCCGCTACGTCACCCCTGCTCTGAATTTATTCTCATGGAAACGTTCGTTCATCCAAGGTCATAAGCATTACTTTTTACATGCAGCATTTAGCGTGTGGTAAAGTATGCGGCATGGAGCTGCACCATCTAAACGCCGTTTCAGACACCTTTGGAGCTCCGCTTTTCCATCAGCCGATATGGAACTAAAACATCTATATCGCAACAGCATGGTAGCGTAAAACAATATGCAAGCACGCACTACTACTGCGGCCTGGTAGCATTAGCGATAGCATAAGCTACATTACGGAGGCAGCAATACGAAAACATTCCTGGGTGATGGCAGACAATGAACAATTGGCGACAATTACTACCAATGATTCAAAGAAGACAAGTCAGATCAAACAACTTCAGCACGACATGGATCTCTAAGAATGTTAAAAAAGTTATCCAGGCAATGCCAAGAGACAGTGTGACACGGGCCGGTCCAGGAATGTTTTCATGCAGTTCCGGCGACAACTGGGTCCGTGATGTTCCCACTCACCAGAACTGCACTGCTGCGCACACGGGGCACACACGGTGTGCAGACACCCGGTTGAGCAGCTTCGGCGTGCACTCCCCGTGTCGCAGGAGCACGTTACAGCTGGAACAGCTCAACAGGCCCCTGACGACGGAGCTGCCACTGGTGGCATCCTCTTGCACGGCCAGCTCCGTCGCATCGCCGCTTGTGCTGGAGGAACACTGGCCGGGACTGGCGGGCGGCGCAGTCCTGGTCGTCGGCGGCTGGGCCTCGCTGGACGCGCTGACCACCATCCTCTCCGCTTCGGGCGTGCCGGTCAGACCGAGCGCCCTGGTCGGCATCCCCCTCAGACATGCCTATGAGTATATGGCTAACGTCATCGTCGCACTCCCGCGAATGGATCAGGTATCGAACACCCCCCGGGACCACCACCGGTGCCATGGACTGCGACGGGACGGTGCTGAACGGGGCAAGAGTGTACATGCAGCTTTATGTTCCTTTTGCACTCGTAATGAAACATGTTGCTAGGACGATTCCATGTTCCTCAACTCTACTGGAAAGTCTTCTAAATACATTGTATATCCGCTGAACAAATCGAAATTAGTCGCCTCAAAGGGACATTGTTTTATTCAGCGGTATATAGCAAGCATAGTTGCGAAATATTGATGCCGCGAAAATGACATATGAATGATATGATAGTCGCGACTTTTCTTTGAGTGGCAACAGCGGGATTGCCAGATGCCACGGGCAAATGCTCGCCATTTGGTAGCCGTGACCGCAGACTTTATGACCTGTATAACAAGCCCGTCATCGGTACGTGTTCTTCATCCGTTTTATGTTGTAACGTTCATCGACCATGTGAATCACATCTTATTCGAAAGATGGACTGGCTGCGAAACCCGCGAGGCCTTCCCCGGCGTGTTTGTCAATTCCTGCTTCTGCCTACCAACCGCGTACATTCGGTTTTTTTCACTTGCCTTCGTGACCTTATCTTTGTCATGCCCTCCAGGATCCACGTCTTCTTAAACATTCGCCGCAAACGGCTACATGGTCAACAATGATGGCATGACGCTTTCAGGATCCTGACCTTGCGTAGCTATCGGGGCAAGTCTTGATCTTCTTGGGTCCACGCCACCGCCTCGGTGGTCGGCAACCATTATCAGCGTTCCAGCGACTGCTTCGAAGTCACGCTCCGTTTTGGGACCACTCCACACTCTGCGGCCCGAAACCTCCTGCGTCGCATCTGCCCCAGGGCCATTTGGCCGTGACACATGAGTGCACCAGTTCCATATGAGGCAATTTCATTTGTAAAAATCGTACGAGCCGACCAGATAGAAGCACCGGCTGAGATAAAGCCAAAGGCCTAAGGCCAGATCACGTAATGGAGCGGTCACATGCCCGGCCAACAACCGCACGCATCAGATGGCACCACCGCAGCCCCACAGTCCCAGTTTCTGAATTGGATAACGCAAAACTGGCGAAAAGGTCGGGGGAATCAGCCCTCGCGATACAATCCCTTAGACTCGAGACTTACACTTAGACTTAGGCTTGCAAGCGCAATGCACTCGACCATGCAACTGAACCTTAGCTCGATAACCTCAAGAGCAAAGACGAGGTCACGGCGCACCGCCATGCGATCAATGACACCAGCAACTTAACTGAGGCAGCCGCCACGGAGTGACATCACCATCGACCCACTGGCGGGCACGGCGCACCTGGGCAGGGTCAGCCTGGAGCAAGCTACCGCACGGTCCGTGATCGTGACGTCTACACAGCGCTGTAATCAAGAAAACAGGACGGCGATAGCTGGCACATGCTGGCGCGGTTGACAGGACGAAATGAAAGGAGGCAGGACACGGAGCAATGTTCAGGCGAGAAACGTGGTATTGCGCGTGCCCAGTGCGCTCATGTCATTTGGAGCACGTGGTTAAGTACGCCGTGGGACAGGTTTTTCAGATTGCCCGATCCATTTTATTGAGCGCGGGCCGGCACTCAACTTAATGGTTATGCAGAAGAAAACATGTTACGAATGTCAAAGATGGCGGGGCAGAATATAACCATAAGCCTTTCATCTAAGACTCCCGTACGCTCAGTTTTTCAACATTTCCCAAAATTTGCAACCATATTAAATGGAGCGTTACACAGTTGGGGCACTTTTCATAAACAAACTCAAATGCCCTCCAGACCAGTTAGTCTAGTAAAAACACTGGGTAGTGGCACTGCAGTAACCCGCAAGACATAGCAATGATATCAATCTCAATTATCTTCAAGTCCAAATTATGCTGTCAACGCTCTGTGACAGCACTACGCGTCTTCCCTACAGTCGCGACCACCGTCGTAATTATGACCCACCGCGCGATGCGCACGCCATGCGATGGGCAGATACAGGGCAAACAACGTGCATGATGGCACTAAGGTTAACCCTAGCACGATGGATGGTGCAAGCCGCCGCATTTCAATACGTATGTTAACGTCTGGCAGAAATCAGGGCATGACCGTGGTGACAGCGGTCGTAGCTAGCTTTGTGGTGACCAATAATCATTAATTTGACAATTTCTAGCTTCAGTCGCATATTCTGCACGAACGTAAAACTGCCGAAAGCATGTTTTCCAGTGGTGAATGCAATCGCTTTTTTTCTTAGAAAATGTGATCACCGAAACAAGTTCCAAACCTCTTTGTTTCACATGTCCTGGATATGTGCACTAGATCCCAGTTCATAAATGACGCGTGTCACACCAATGCAATAGTTTTGCCAATAGTACACCAATGACATATTATCTTGTCGATAGCGTTGGGCGTTATACGCCTGCCCACCACATCTGGTTCGGGTGTGCCCGGCCCGCACTTGACCCTACCCCATGCCCCGCCTGACCGACGAGTCCCCCCCCCCGCATGAGGTGGGTAGGTGCACAATGCGCGGCACTGGGACACGACAAACACAGCTTTGAAACTTTTATTGGCGTCCATAGCAGATAAGTTATAATACCACATTCGAAGAAATATAACAATTGTCGTTTAGGCAGTAGTATAACGGTGCGAAACTTAAACAACAGGTTTTAAAAGTTTTAGGAGTAATTTTCTAATCACACGACTCACATGAGCGATTTTCTGCTTAAAATTTAAACGCATGCTTGTTGAATGTCTGCGTTGATTAAATTACTATTGGCTGGCTATAAGCAAGCCCATGCATGTATCGCCAGTTCTGATGTCAGATCTCTTCCTACCAACTCAATGAAACTAAAAAAAATCGGTAGCATGTTTGACGCAGACGTAACAAAACAAATTCCTCTATCCTGATGTATTTCCTAATACGCACGCGGTGCGATACGTACCTAAACATGGTCCACAATGAAAGATGATTTAATAAAATGATCCCCAAAGCCCGTCTGCTCCATGCAGCGCCGACGCAAACAATGATGGCGCAACCAGCACCCAACACCCTCGACCGATCCGCGCCGCTGATTGCCAGGCCCAGCATTACCTTCTAATCTGCGTAAATTACAAGCATGGACTGGAAAGAAAAAAACTTAAAAATCGCCGTTTCGCACGATTAGCTTCTTCTTAGTTCGACACACGTGATCTACTTATCAACAGCTATTTGTCGCCAAAGACCCAACTAAAACATGGGTTTCATCATAACTTTTGCCACACCCGTCCTAATGGCATCCATCCTGTCACATTGTGCCTGAATGTTGTTCCGTCTAGCGTCTGCCCATCTCATGAGATCTTGCACCGTCCACTTGTCGCCGTCGTAACGCAGGAGAACTTTGTTCAGAGCCGAGGCTCATTTCTATCGAAATCGTCTAGAACGCAACAATAAGCGTCAGGTAATAATCATACCTGTATGTAAAAATACGTGGTTAACAGTGAGCATGCGTAAAAAGCGGTTAGTAATGATCATACATGGTCGTCATAAGTAAGCGGCATTGTAGGATGCTTTGACCGATGAGACTTTTGGTTATGCTATCGTTATTCTTCATACTCATACACGATCCATTCGACTTTGGCATCCGTGTTGATTTCGTCCGTGCACCGTCATACTGACGGCGCTTCTAGTTCTTTGGAACCCTTAGTCCATGTTGAGCTCGCGACCATATAGTGCACTTTTCCGCTAGGTATGCCCCTGCCCCCCTTCCCAGATTGAAAAGTGTCGAATTCGGGGAAAAACAGCTTTTGTAGCATTTTGGGTTCGGCTTACCTTTCTCCCCGTTCTATCCGCAACTCCTTGGAACCAGGCAACATCCGTTGCATTTCAACCGCCTGGAGGCCCAAGCCTGCTGCCACTGCCGGTCACATATTGGGCCCTCGGGTGTTCTACGCCTTCCTGGTCGTAGCGATCTCTTGTTTTCCGTTTCATGAACTCTCGGTGTCTGGTGCCTTCGGCGGTTTCGCAGTCGCCCATCAGACGTGACGTTCTTCCGTCTCAGAGGAACTTCGACCGTCACGACCGCGGTCAGTCTTCGTGTCCGTTGAGATCTTGGCAGCCATCTTCATCCTGCATAATCCCAACAAATCCCTGGTAATTTAAGAGGCTTGTTGGGCTGAAGACGTTTGGCCCGTGAACCTGCGTCGATTTTCCTGGCACTAAAATCAGTCCACGCCCTGGCGGCCTTGGCATTCCGCGAACGTCCCACTCCATCAGGCGTCATTGTATATACTTGTTAAAGTAAACAACCCGCGTCTGATGGCCGAATGGCGACCGCGCACCATCGCGACGCCAGTTGTGACGCAGGGACGATTGTTCCGCAGTGCTGGCCAAAGCGGCGGGGGACATGGACGGCGGCCGTGCTCTTTAAATTATAATTCTTCATCTGGGCGCCGCTGACCTTGCAGTCAGAAGAGGCGCCGGACACCTCTGCGTTGATCGTCGAGCGTGCGCAGGCGCCTCATCGTGTGCCTGGTGTTAAATGCACTCCTTGTTGATGCCGACGTAAAGGGCACTGACGTTTTACAGGAAGGCTAGCGACCACGGATGCCTATCCTCCACTACTCGGAGTTTTGTCCACTGACGATCGAAATGCCCAGATCTCCTTGGAGTGTGACATTCATTCACATGATAACAAG